ATGCTGCAGAAGAAGATTTTCATGCCGTTGTGAGTAGTACTTTTTTTCTATATCTGGAATTAGTAATTATTTCTTTCTTTTCAAGCTGGCAGTGGAACCTTCAAACACTGAAGTTTCAAATAAACTTGACCTCATTGCGGACCTTCGGCAGTATATCCATCAAGCAAAGTCGTTCTACGATCGTAATGACCTGCACTCAGCCGAATATTACTTGAACAAAGCATTGGAGGTTGAATCACTCTTTGTATCCTTCTCTTATCGAAATTTTTAAATGATATTTTTGTCAGCATCTCGTCTGGGATCCATCGTTATACCGACTACGCGCAAAATGCTTGGAGACAAGAGGGGAAATTCGTAAAGCGATAGCTGACATGCGAACACTTACAAAATTAGTGGCTGATAGTACAGATGACCTCTTGAGGATTTCCCATTTGTACTACGGAATAGGAGATGTCGAAGAATCACTTTCGTAAGATTTCTTTGGGATTTTTTCGTTCCTTCTTTCATCTTTTTATGTGTTCCATTTAAGTCAAATTCGAGAGTGTCTCAAACTGAACCCTGACCATAAAGAATGTTTTCCTTTCTACAAAAAGGTCAAGAAACTTGCCAAAATGCGAGGTACGTTCTTAAAGTATCATCACATCAGGGATTGGAAGTATGGATCATGGCATTAAAAATTCTTTTCAGAATCTCTGAATGATGCCAAACAGCAAGAAAACTGGATGGGCTGCCTCGAGAAAGGGCAACAGATCCTGAAATATGAAAGCAGTGTGTTGAGTATCCAAATGGATACATTCAGACAGTTGTGCAAATGCAATATGGAGGTTAATATCTCTGGTTTTAACATCTGAAGGATTTGAATAAAATTAAATTCAGGCTGGTCACATTAGTGAAGCTATACAACAGTGTACGGAAGTGCTAACAAACAGTGATCCAAACGACGTGGATGTTCTTTGCGATCGAGCTGATGCATATTTATTGGACGAGCGTTATGATGAAGGTATGTAAAAGTTCTTGATAATATATGGGGACCGTTTAGTTAAGGCTTGCAATAATTTCCTCTCACATAAATATGTAATGTGGTTGTGCGAGATTGAGTTAAATACATGTTGCATAATGTCTCAAAACGTATAATGCCCAACATCATTTCTTTACTCTGGTCTTGTTCGGTTTTCGCGGACTGGTATATTAAGAGTTTTCACTAGTCTTTGTGTGAATGTTGTTTTAGTAGCTAGATGTTGTGAAAAATCACTTCGCTACCGAGTCTACTAATAATATTGTTACTATTATCGCTTCAAAGTGTCTGTTTCATCTTTCTTATCGTGAAATTTTTGCAGCCATCGAGGATTATCAGAAAGCGCAAAAGTTGAACGAAGAATCGAGACGGGCTCGCGATGGCTTGGAGAAAGCTCAGAAGTTGAAAAAACAAGCTGGAAAGCGAGATTATTACAAAATCCTAGGACTTAAAAGGTAAATCCCTTAAATTCTTTTCTACTGTTGATACCTTACTGTTAATTGCAGAAGGTTTTTCTATGAAGACGAAGTTCTTTATATGTCCCAAGTGACAAAGTTGTGTACTTATCTCCCATTTCTTCTATAGTTGATTTAACATTTTGCATAACATGTCATTACATCATAAACAACCGTCTGTTCCATGTGTACAAAATCCAATCTGGTAGGGTCTAACACATACCCAGCCATGTTCGTTTTGACATTCTTAGATTAGCATTGCTTCTTTTTACTTTGAGCTTATCTTGAAAGAGGACGACGGATTCATGATAAGCTTGAAGTAGGAAGTGAAAGCTTCAATGCTAATCTAATCTGATTCGTACGGATTGAAATAGATATTCACTTCTTTTGAATACATTAATCAGTATATTCTGCGAACAATTTTATGTAGTACAAGCTCATTTTCTGTATGCATTGTTAATTTACCTCAAATGTTATCGTACGTTCGGCGAAGTTCACAGATAAGCCAAAAGTCAATCTTTGTAGAGTTAGAGTTTTTTTGAATATAGATTCAATCGCTTATCA